ACCCCAGAGGCCATCCCAGAGGAGCAGCTCCTGTTCTGCGGGGCCAGCGACTGCCTGTTAGACATAAAGTCCACCAACAGCACCCAGAACCCCTCCCAGGAGCTGATCTACACCCTGCTGGGCATCTACACGGGTATGTGCATGCTCAGAGGCGAGGACAGCAGACCTGGCTCCTTCCTGTGCTGGAAGGAACATAATCTCCCCAGAGCATAATCTTTCTTCATCTGAGAAACCCTGCAAAATGTCCTCAGCTTGATCTCATTCAGGTGTTTTTCATATGAAGTCAAATAAGCCAACCACTGCTAACTAATAGGGTTTCCTCTGATGTGAGGGTCATGGTTCATCCGCACAGTGCAGTACAGTAGCCGTTAGCCACATGTGCTTTGTTAAATTTTAATCAGCTAAGTTACAGGTACTGTCCCGAGTGCCACCAGCCGCATGGGGTGGATGACTACCATGTTGGACGACATCCTGGTGGACGTGGCGTGAGTAGGCCAGCTATCTGAATTTCAGCTGTGTCCCAGTGACCCCAGAAACCCCAAATCCTTACAAACGGTCATATTTTTCTGGGGAAGGTATTTGAATGGTCCCTGCTGAAAGGAGGGTGTGGGGCATGGTGTCCCCTGCAGTCACCATCCTGGCACCAGGGAGGCCTCAGGACTGTCACCTGCTGGTCACAGTGCAACTGCTGCACACAGACATCAGATGTTCATGCCAATAGGGCTGCCCAGAGGGAGTTAATTCTCATGGTTCTTATCCTTATAAGTTTATTTTAATGGAAAACATTTACATGAATAGGTTTCTAAATAACATCATTCTTATAGTCCCAGATTTATTACTACTGAAGGGGATACCTTTAGAGTAGTTTCTTTTTTAACCATTTGGAGGGAATTTAAATTGGTTCTTTGTCATTTTTTAATTTTGGGGTTCATAAAGGGTCTTGGAATGGGCCCTTTGTAAAGACCAAGGGTCTGAAATATATTGAATTTTGTGGGACTGTCCAGGATGCCCCTGGGAATTTACGGTTAGGCAGGTGCTCGCCAGGACATTGCCCGGCACTCGGGTGTCTCTCAAAGCCACTTTCATCAGATGCTCCCAGCGAGCACTTGTAAACAGTCACTCAGTGGGGACGAAGCAGAGTGTGGGCTCGCGTGTGACACCCACTACGGGCCAGAAACCAGGAAGACAAGAACCTCACGTCAGTAAGCTCAGAGTCCAGCCAGGGAGTCAGACTGCATTCAGCCGACCCACGTGTGAGGCGACAAGTGTTCCAAGCGAAGCTTGCAGCTGGTGTGCAGCGGCACCCTCTGCAGTGTGGGTTCTAGGGCCTCTGGGATGAGGGGCTGTGCCGAGCCAGGTGGTGGAAGGTGGGGCTCACCAGCAGAGAGGGAGCTGAGAGGCCACGGGGCAGGGAAACCAGCGACACTGGAGCGCACAGGCATGGGAAGGGGGACAGTGGAGCCTGAGAAGGGACAGGCCATGCCGCCAGGGAAGGCCTTGAAGCTTGCCGAGTGCCTGGACCAATGCACACCTGTTCCCTGGACAGGCTTGGGGTCAGTGTGATGGGAAGGGAGGGAAAACACTGGGCAGAGAAGCCAGTTATGGGGCAAGTCCAGTGAACTGTGGAGGAAAGAAGAGGAAAGACAGTGGCACAGTGAAGACAGAGGCGAGCTCAGGGGAGTTCAGGGCTAATGGGACTTGCCTGTGGATGGGGCTGGGATGCAGGAGGGTGGGCCAGACAGCCCTGCAGTGGGCGGAGAGTCCACTGAGCTTGGGAGGTGTCCCTCCTGGTACAGCAGCAGGACAGGGCTGCCCTGGGCAGGAGGAGCCTTGGGCAGGGCGCAGGCCGTGGAACAGGGATGCATGGAGGGGGCTTCCCTCTGTGTGATGGGTGAAGTCTGTGGAGGGCCTGAGATTCTCAGGGAGACAAGAAAGGTCTATGGGAAGAAGTGGAGATAGTGGGCCCAGAACATGACAGAGGTTAGGAGCTGGAAGAAGGCAGTGGGGACCCAGGGTGAGCAGTTGGGTGGGGGACTGAGATGGTCACAGGTGGCAGAGGCTCCTGAGGGCTCAGGCATGACCCCAAGAGGCTGCTGCCCCTGGGAGAGCTGTGGACTGGTGCCAGAGAGCAAGGCTGGGCTGAGCCGGCTGCGGGGTGAGTGGGGCTGCAGGAGGCCGTGGGTAGCGGTGTGAGGACAGGGGATGCGTTCTGCACCTGCCGCCCTTTGCCGGCTTCCTCTCCTCATTGTGTGGCTCTCTGTGCACCTTCCCAGCCACCAGCCGCCTCTCCCACATTCCCTGCAGCAGCCCTGGGCCTCCTGACACCTTGCACACCATCCCAGGAGCACAGGGGCCCAGTAGCTTCGGGGTGGCATGCAGACATCTATGTGGACCCGAGGCCATGTGCATGTGACGAGGAGACATTGTCCCTTATTATTCGGGTCCTGACTTTCCTGCAGGGTTTCATATGTTCCTTCCCTTTAGCAAGGCTATGTTGCCGTAAAGACCAAAAAAAGGGAAAAGAGAAAACGGACTAAAGGGCAGAGAACACAGTCTCCCTAGAGTGATTTCCCAAGATTTCTGAGCTTTGTCCTCATCACACAGTTCCTTGTGAAGCTGTTCTCATCAGAATGCAGTGTGTTCATTGTGTAACACGGCCGTGTCCCCACACTCGCCTCCTGGGAAGGTTCTGGGTCACAGGACAGCTCAGGACACACACACATGTCCTATTAAACATGTGGCTTCTCTGCCCCTGGCGCCCCACCCACAGGCTGCCTCGCCACTTTGCCTGGACATGAGTGTCCTGGTGGGCTGCTCAGAATGTCATGTCCCTGCCCACGAGGTGGCACTGTGTAGTCGCCATTAGTGGGAACTATGCCCTTTCCCACCTGATTCACACACTACCAGTTGATGGGGTTGGCTTGAAAGAACGCTTTCCTGCTGAGATGCCCAGCGGCTCCCACCCAGGCGTGGTGACCTGCTCTGATGGTTTGTGGGCAGCTGTGGCCCCAGAGGTTAAGGGCTCTGCAGGCATTCATACAGTGTTTAATGAATGTCGTTAAACTGTCGAGTTACCATGAGGTGGGGAGAGGGGCTGTTGTTTGGCCGAGAGGGAAAGTAGCTGAATTACAGGAATGAGGCTTCGAGGTCAGTTGGTGCCCCTCTGGGTGGGAGCAGATCGACAGTGCGGCTCCCCGAGATGGGCTGAGGACTGGTCTCATGGCTTCAGCAGATAGTCTGGGGCTGACCCTTGGGTCCCAGTGGCACTCAGTCAGCATGCCGCTGGGAAGGACCCACTGTGGGGTGGCACCCGCTGGCTGTAAGGGACCGAAAAGGTCAGATGAGGCTGGTGAGACACAGTGAAGAGATAAAATAATCCAAACCATCTCTAAAGGACGACAGGTCTACAACCAGTTGATGGGGTTGGTGACTGACAGCAGTTCTGAGGGGTTCTGACCACCATCAGGAGACCATCACAGCTCTTAGATTGATTTGGGATTCCAAGACACAGTGCGTGATTATCACTGCAGGCAGAAGGGAACAGAAGAGATATACGTGTGTCACATTCAAACCAGTCAGGGTGTGGAAGGGTCTCTGTGTAAAGAAAAAGAAGCTAAATAAATATACATAGTCTTTCACCAGGAGAAAGGAAGGTTTATCAAGTCACAAGGTGGCGCATGGCAGAGAAAGACATGTCACTTTATTTTGGAATTGCAAACGTACAGGACGCCCCTTGAGGGAGCAGGGAGTAGTTGTCTTTAATAAAATTGTGTGCCTAGATAACTATTCACAAGCACTGTGCAGAGAAAGACCCTCACCTCTGTCCCTGCTTACCCAGCAGCCCTGCCCACACAAATGGCCCTGTCTTCCTAGGCTCTCCAACGTCCTTGTAAACAGTATCTCTTCATGTCCCCCCCTGTTAAAAGCAAATGGTAGCACATTCTGCACCCTGTGGGTTCTGCACCCTATGGGTTCTACACCTTGATTTCTCTCTCAGCCATTTGAGGGATTTTCCCTCCTTAGTGTATAAAGAGCTGCCACTTTTTCTTTTTTCAAAAGCACAGTATCCTTCTGCAGTTGGGGCATACCATAATATCTGTAACTGGTTCCTCCTGCAGGACTTTTAGGTAAATAGATCTGGAATAAATGCAAAGCATAGCAAATGGAAGGTTTTCCTGGACTCATGGTCCTGGGAAGGGAGGCTGGCTGTTGGTAGAAATTCCCTGAGGATTAGGAAGAGAGAAGCAGCCAACTGTTCAGGGTGCTCAGATGCCAGGGAAGTCCCCCCAGGTATGTGTATTTCATGCCGCTGAAGACAGGACTAACCTGTGTGACGGGCTGCATGGGGGAGCCTGGCAGACCCAAGTCACCAGAACCAGCACAGCGGTCACAGCCCCATGTCAGCTCCCAGGTGGCAGGTGGCCAGGGGCTTCGGTCAGGCTGGGCCCACGTCCAGACTTGAAGCTGACCCTCCATCTCCAGAGAAGAAGTGGCTGGAGGAAACCCAGGCAAAGGGTGGTGCCCCCTGGGGTCTGAGCACCATAGCCCATGCCCTTTGTTTTCCCTCCAGGAAGCGGGGTCCTGGCTGTCCTGCTAATAGCCGTATTTCTCCAACCCGTAAAAGATGTTCAGCAGAAAAATGAAGAGAAGAGACCATCGTTTTGGTTCACTGTTCTGTCAACTTTCAGGCTCCTTAAAGACAGACGTCTGTGTCTCCTGGTCCTGCTGCCCATGTACAGCGGATTCGAGCAAGCCTTCCTGGCTGGCGACTACACCAGGGTACGAGGGATGTCCGGCATGGGCAACCGCGGGCCTCCTGCGTCTGCACGCCACAGAGCCCTGCCCTGGGCAGGCGGGGGACAGGCTGTGCATGGCCTGCCTGGCCCTTCCTGGCCTGGGCCCACCACAGTTAGAGTACTGGGTTTAGTATGGCCACATTTATGGTCAGGAGATGAGCTCACCTGAGCTCGGACTTCCTTCCGCTTGAGCTGTGTCTTCAGGCAAAGGACCAAAGGCATTCCTGAGTCGTCACATTTAACACTTATCAGTGTTTGCTTGCCTGCATCTCACTCTCCCTCCTATTTTAGAGTAAAAAAATAGGGAAAAACATGAAATCCACGAGTAATGCCAACATTCCTCCTCACTCTAGCTTTCAATTATGTGTTACAGTCCAGAAAAGGACGTGGCCCTGGGGCACAGTCACCTTCTCAGGCCCCCAAGCTATGCTCTACCTGCCGCTTTGTGCACAAAGGGGGGCCTCTCCGGGTGCGGTTGGAGCAGCGCAGCAATGCCAGTGGGCACAGTGACCCCGTCCCTCTGTTGGCATTCACGGCCACCCCATCGTGGGTTTCCCACCAAGACTCTGTCTCTTGTTCCCCTGCCCGGGTGGCATCCTGTCCTCAAGAGCCATCTAGGATGTTGTGGATGGCATGCCACAAACGGGGATGCAGAGCTGAATCCCCTTCCCCAGAAAGTGCCAGGTGGGAGCTGGGGCCCTGTGGGGGCTGAAGAGCCGGGACCATGGTGGTCTGGCCAGCCTGCACCCAGGGGAGCTCCCCTGAGGGCATAGCCCTTCCCCCAGACTTGTCGTTGCCCAGCCCTCCCAGATGCACTGGGGCATCCTCATTTGAGTGTCTGCCCGAGGCTGCCCTGTCATGGAGTGGTGGGCGAGGTGTGAGCACCGGCATGCAGGCTTGCCTGGGTCCTGGCTGGGGGCCGCTCTGCACCTTACATTATGTACAGGAGCATTTTCCTTCTAGTTTCCTTTGAGGACCCCTTATTTTCTTTCCATCTGGTTCTTTTTTTTTGTTAAGATGTTATTAGTTTAGAGCAATTTTAGGTTCATAACAAAATTGAGTGTAGGCACAGAGATTTCCCATATGCCCCTTGACCCCCATTCATAGCCTCCTCCAATATCAATGTCCCCACCAGACAGGGTACTTGTCACAACAGGGGGACCTGCACGGACATGTGCTCACCCACAGGCATGGTCCACACAGGGCTCACTCTTGGCATCGTGCCTGCTGAAGTTCGGACAAATGTATCCTGATGCCACTGTGGCGTCATGTGCAGTATTTCACCCCGAAAACTGTCTAAGCTCTGCTCGTCTATTCCTCCATCTTATTCCTTCCTGTCTCATAGGCAGAGTAGGAAACAAAGGGTTCATATCAGCCCCATATAAACAGGAAGTGTGTCGCAGTATATGGCAAAGACTGTGGGAGAATCATGTCCACAGGTCTGTCCAGACCATTCCTGCCAGTTCTTGCCCCAGAGGCATTTTCCTTACAAGCACCCACATTGTTCCCTGACTCAGGGAGCTCAGAAGCCTAGTCAAAGGTCCTGGGGCGATAGGGCCGTCAGCAGTCGGGCCACGGAGTGCCATCCGGCATGAGCTGCGCTCCCAGCTCACGTGGCCCAGCAGACCGCCCGTCGGAGCTCGGCCTTGCGGCCCCTGACGCCCTGTGCTTCCTCCCAGTCCTATACCACCTGTGCCCTGGGGATCCAGTTTGTCGGCTACGTGATGATCTGCTTCTCAGCCATCAACTCTCTGTGCTCCGTGTTCTACGGGAAGATCTCTCAGTACACGGGCAGAATCCCGCTCTACACACTGGGTAGGTAGGCACGCTCTCCCGACTGAGGCAGTGCAGGCAACGTGAGTTACATGCAGTTGCTCTGAAGTCAGGGACCCATCCCCTGACCCCTGCAATGCACTGGCACCAGGCTCAGGTGGGTGTCGGGCCAGGCCCGTGGATGCAAGTTCCCGGGGCAGGGCCGTGGGCATTTAAAATGTAGTGTGGCAAGAGCTAGAATGGGGAGGTACAGGGTTTTGTAGGGGCACATCGAGGGATGTCCGAACCTGTCTTCAGGGCCATGTGGCAAGGAGTCAGGGAGGGCTCCTGGGAGGCAGTGTCTCCACACAGTGGACGCACTGACCTAAAGCTGGCCGGCACCTCTACACACTGTTGCTCCTTATTTCTCTTGGAAAGGGGAGGAAGAAGATTCAGAGATGCTGTGGATCACGAAAAATAAGGGCGTTAACAGAACAGCCACCCACTGCCCAAGGTCTAAGGTGTCTGTGGCGAGGAGGCCTGAGGGGAAAGGGGCACCCCTATCGGTGTGCCAGCCCTGCAGGAGGCTGAGGGTGCTATTTCCCTGGCTCATCCTGAGTGCCGGTGGAGTGGACACTGCCTGCTTTGAGGGCAGGAAATCGAGGAACACAGAGGGTGGCTAGCAGCTTGCCAAGGTCACA